TATAAATGTATTTTAAACACACAAAAATTAATACAATATAACTTATCATATTTCTGCAAAAGTATAGATAAAAATGCAATTTCTATGTCTCCGACTAGTCCCCGACTAGGCGCCCGCCTAGCCGCCTAGGCGCTAGGCGTTGGGCTGACGCCCGACTAGCGCCTAGTGCCTTTTAGAACATTGCTAAATATTATTCATCGAATTGAGGGTTACTCATGAATTATCCTAGTAGTAGGTTTGGTTAGATATTTTGATCGGCTTAGATCATTTCTGCCTTCATTCCATACAAATTCTTCCCGGTGTGATTCTGATCGGAGTTTTTAAAAGTGGAAATAAAGTAAAAATATATGCTTGTGGTTGAGTAAGAAAAACGTAAATGAATGTTAGTCACACGGTACAAAACTTTCAAAATGGTTAAATTAGAAGAAAACATTTGGACAACCCAAAATAGTAACTAGAAAGAATTTTATGTTATAGGAGTAATATTTTGGAGTCCGGTGACATTGGCTAATTTACCGTTTATCACTAGCATATAATATGTAAATTATAATGACCAATAAAAATATAAACAATTATATTTTGAAGTTAATTAGTACGGAGTATATACATAACTTTTTGTCCATTTATTGTTTATGTACGGAGTATTAAATATTTTTATTTCTTCAAAAAAAAGTTTTTTAGGTAATTTTTTAATTGTAGAATAATGTATTATTATTCTACAATAACTTTCATCATTATTATTTGCATTATTTTTGTTATATACAGCCGTTCCGGTGAAAACACTTCTTCCCGTGAAAAATGAGAACGATCCCAAATGATACACACATGATTCTGTTCGGCAGTAGCATATAGGCAATAATATTGGGAATGAAACTTGTGTATTATTTATTGAAGGGAAAAAATGTTTATAGAGTACAAGAGGAGTCCTTGGCCCATTAATTACATTTAAGACTAAGTTGCATATTAACATATATTAAAGTTAAAGCACAATCCAATAACACACACCCCCCAAGTTGGAGCATGAGGATTAAAAATGCCCAATTTGTCAAGGAGAAAGAGAAATTGTCGTTGACCAAGAGCTTTAGTAAAGATATCTGCCAATTGATCGTTGGTTGAGACATGACAAGTTTTGAGAAGTCCTTCCTGAATAGCATCACGTACATAATGACAGTCAACCTCAATATGCTTGGTGCGTTCATAAAAAACCGGATTCTGAACAATGTGGAGGGCAGAACGATTATCACAAAATAGATTCATAGGACACAGATGACCAATCCCAAGAGTAAGTAAGACCTTTTAGCCATTTAAGCTCCGCAGTGAACGCAGCCTTGGATCTGTATTCGGCCTCAGTGGAGGAACGGGAAATGGTGTGTTGCTTCTTTGTCTTCCAAGAAATAGGAGAACTGCCAATAAAAATTATCCAACAAGTGAGAGAACATCATGTGAGAGGGCAACTTGCCCAATCCGAGTCACACCAGGCCGTGAGCTAGAAATCCAACGAGGACGAGAGAAGTATGCCTTGGCCAGGTGCTCCCTTCAGATAACGAACTACGCGAACATCAGCGTGCCAATGCTCCTGACGCGGTGCCTGCATAAACTGAGATAAAATATGAACGGCATAAGCCAAATCTGGGCAAGTAAAAGACAAGTATATAAGACTCCCCACGAGCCGTCGATATCATTCGAGGTCGGCATGTAGGCGCCACCTGCACGAGCCAGCGCATGATTGGGTTCCATCGGACATAGAACAGGCTTAGCACCAAGAAGACCAGTCTCAGAAATAATATCAAGGGCATATTTTCGCCGGCAAAGAAATAGTCCATCAGCACTCCGAGCCACCTTGATACCCAAAAAATATTTAAGGGAGCCTAAGTCCTTCATGTGAAAACAATTATGCAGGTATTGCTTAAACTGAGCTATCGCCGAAGAAATATTTCCAGAAATAATGAGATCATCCACATAGACTAGGACATGCATGCGTACGTCCCCCTTTTTCTAAGTAAAAAGAGAATAATCATATTTGGACTGACAAAAACCATAGTCCCGCAAAGAAGTGGCAAGTTTCGCAAACCAACACCGAGGAGCCTGTCGTAACCTGTATAAGGATTTTTTTCAAACGACACACAGCAGATGGCCGAGAGGGATAAAATCCGGGTGGTGGTTTCATGTACACTTCCTCCCCCAAATCACCATGGAGGAAGGCATTGTGCACATCCATTTGGTGTAGCTCCCAGTTTTTTGCTGCAGCAGCCGCTAAAAATACACGCACTGTAACCATTTTCGCAACAGGAGCAAAAGTTTTAGTGTAATCAATACATGCGCGTTGATGATTGCCAAGCACGACTAACCGTGCTTTGAGCCGCTCCACGGTGCCGTGAGAATTATACATGATTTTGTAGACCCATTTGCACCATAGTGCCCGCTTGCCAGGGGGAAGTTCAACGACCTCCCATGTTTGATTCTTTCAAAGGGCCTGTACTTCGGCCTCCATAGTCGATCGCCACCCAGAGTCCGACATAGCCTCGCGAAGCAAATGAGGTTCCTCTCCTGCACGAATAGCTCCAAGAAACCATCTGTGACGGACAAAAAAAAATCACAATTTATATAATGTGCTAAAGGATACGGCATACCTCAAAAACCCGGAGGAGAAGGTAGCGGTGGAGATGAGCTATATTTCCGGACATGATGAGTAACAAAGTCTCGTAGAAGAACCGAAGAACGTTTAGCACGCATCCCTCGGCCTAGTGTTGCGTCTGCGGCATCCGCATGGGGGCCGTTAGATGAAGAAGCAGCTGCCGAGGACGTGGGTGCTGGAACTGGATCATCAAAAATAACCCTGGTGTGCTCGTGGTCTTCCACCGTGGCAGAGTGTTCGGGTGCCCGTTGCTCAGAGAAAGGAAAGACATCTTCATAAAATTTCACATCCTGGGAAACAAATATGTCGCTAGTATCATAGTCATACAATTTCCAACCCTTTTTACCGGAAGAATAACCAACAAAAATGCAACGCCTACTCCGCGAAGCGAACTTATCACTACGAGATTTCAAATTGAAAGCAAAGTCCAAACATCCAAATACCCTTAAGTGAGAAAAATCTGGTATCCAAACACCACCATAGAATTGGTGGTTTCCCAGTCCAGCAATTTCGCAGCAACGGTGGGTTTCTTCTCGGTTCCATCCACAAACACGAACTTGTGTCGCGCCTTCAACGAACGAGAAATAGCTCGAGACCAAGCCACATAGTTGTCTCCTTTAAATATCATGTGTGTATTCACTTTCCCCGGTTGATCATCGGTACCAAGATATTAGGGTGAAGTAGGGTCGGTCATAGCGATTGACGGAAACAGCCACGCGAAGGCTGCCTTCGTTCGCAAACGGCGTCGCGGCAGTCGTTGAGACCTTCGGATCGAGCGGCTCATAGCCGCTGCTCTGATACCATGTTCGACAGTAGCATATAGGCAATAATATTGGGAATGAAACTTGTGTATTAATTACAGATTACACTAAGTTACATATTAACATATATTAAAGCTAAAGCCCAATCCGATAACAGATTCAAAGTGGTGCACATTTATGATTAAAATAATGCACATCTTAAATGTGCATATTTGTTGTTAAAGTAATGAATAGTTCAAATGCACATTTCCTAATTTATGGTAGTACATATTTCTGTTTCACATAATGCACAATACCCAAATTTATTTAACGCCCTAAACTCAGTCTAGTTTCTCTGTTTAGAGCATATTCTCATTTGTGTGTGTGTACACACACACACACAATTTTTACTATTGAATTGTATACTACCTCCGTCCCCCTAAGTTTGGGACAAGAAAAGGTGGCACGATTATTAATAAAAGTGGGTTTATGTGGTTGATATTGAATTGATAAAGTAAGAATAAAGTAGAAATGATTTAGAACCACACAAACTTTACCAAATAAAGTATGAGACAATCTTAGTGGGACGGACCGAAAGAGTAAAATGAGACAATCATAGCGGGACGGAAGGAGTAGTAAAAAAATTGTTAAGTTAAAGTAGAACGTGTAATAAGAAAGTGAAAAATTGTACATACGTGTAGACAGTTCGGTTCGGGGCGGTAGCATGTCATTCCAATACCAAACAATGTCACTTTTTCCAATTGTTTAAGGAGAAAACATATAATTTGAGACGTACGCTTACGTTTACTTAATTTGAGATATAATTTGAGATGTACAAAACATAAATTCACACAATGGTATGTACGTTTAAACCATACTTCGGTCTGGTCCAATGCGGTACCGGTTCTCAGTTTATGAGAACCAGTCATGGCATGATTTGGAACTGATATGGTCCGGTTCAGGACAAAAAATTTGAGATCAATTTCAAACCTGTTTTTCGGTTCAGTTCCATACCGGTCCGGATCAGTAGCATGCCGGTTCGGTATTTTTCCTACGCCTGAATACGTGGTTGAAGCTAGCGCATACTCCAAAGGAGAAAAATAATGACAACTAATTGGTTATTTTAGAAAAAAAGTGTTAAATTTTTTTAACAAAGTTAGCAAGGCCTACTGAAAACAATAGTGAAAATAGCTATAATGATATTTCTTGTCTTTTTAAAATTTGTATATTAATTTGTAACTAATACAGTACATTAAAAAAAGATAAAAGTAGATTTTAAATTAGAATGTAGAAATCTAAAAATAAACATAAAATTGATACTCTGTATGAAAGAAAGGAAAAGAAATAATTACACATTTATAATTAAAATAGAAGACATTTATAAAATTGTGAGCTCTTGATTGCCAAAAAAAATCGTGACCTCTTGAGTTGTAATGGCTACAGTAGAACCTTTTGTCATACTTTTGTAAATATACGTATATTTATTTCAGTAATATTTTTTAGAAAAATCTTTAAAAAATTCTGAAAATAGTACTAATTGAATTTTTATGACAAAAAATTGTTTAGGATTACTATAGAAATACTTTGTAGTCACTATAATATAAAATTCGAATACCGATATAATCATTAAATTAAATATTTAAAATGTGATCATACATTAAAGATGTTTTCTTTTGGATAGAAATTTGCTAGTCAAGATTGGTCTGATCTGATCTGGTCAGATCTGTTGAAGTATGGTCTGTTTTTGTTTGAACTGGTCTTTTCTACTACGTAATTTGGTAAATGTATGATCTCTATGTATTTTATAACTATGAAAGTTTGGTCTGATGCGATTCGTTTAAGTCTAGTCAGATCTCATCTGGTTTGTTTAAATATGGTCTGATCTCCAACCGAAAATAGTCCAAACGATAACGAATTGAGGAGTATTTCGTTTTTTGTATCTTGGGCGGAGTGAGGGGTCGTCTTGGTTTGGTTCTGCTTCGGGACCCCGGTTCTGCGTAAGCTTAATGGGGGGATCAGAATTTACTAGGTGGGTAAATCGATTTTTTTATACAACGGAAGGAAAGCAAAAATAAAATCAGAATCTAATTTCTTCTAGGCCGTTTGCGTCTTCCCACAAAGTTTGTTTGATCCATTCCAGTGCTATTTCCAAAATAGACAAACCCTTCGTGGCCTCATGCGCTGCATTTGCTAGCATGTCTGCACATTTATTGTCCTCCCATAGGGTATGTTGAAAAAGAATGAAACGGTCATCCTCAAGTAATCTCCTACAATCACGGATTAGCACCCCAGTAGCTGTTTTATGAGACGTTTGCGTACTTCTGACCACTTTAATCATGCTTTCTGAATCGCCCTCCACCATGACCCGACTAAGATTTAGATCACGAGCCAACAAAAGACCTTGCCGTAATCCCCAAAGTTCCGCTTGAAAACTATCAGTTTTCCCAATATTTAAAAGGAATCCACAAATCCAATCTCCTTTATGATTGCGAATAACACCGCCTGCCCCGGCATCCCTTTCACTCCCTCGACATGATCCATCACAGTTGAGTTTGAAGGTTCCTGCCTCTGGTGGTTGCCATTTGATAATCCTAGGTACCCTCTGTTGTTTAATTCCTGGGTAAATCGATTTTTGTTCAGCGTTGGTTCCGCTCATTTAGCCAGTATACGAAAGATAAAAATAGTGGAATCAGTCAAATTAATTGAGCCGGTTGTAGTCCAAAACTAGAAAAATGGGCTCAAGTCAGGACTGAACCGAAACCCAGATCACCTATGTATATATGCATATCAATTTTATTGGTCCAGTTTTATACTATTATATTATCTACTCATTTGTGGAAGATGTACACAATACAGTCTTCTCTCATTTATACTTGTTCATCTTTTCAATTATCAAATTTATATTATTTGTTTCACTTTTTATTTTTTTGGCAAACTGCAAAATCATATTTTTACTTTTCTACTTTTTTATCTTTTTCCTCAGTTCAAATATAGAATCATACATTTTCTCTAAACTATTCACTGCTCTTATAATTTTACTCTTAACTTCCATATAAAACTACTTGAACTAGTAAATATAAGCGGGAAAGAAACTCTTAGACAGCTAGCGTAACACGTGGTCATGACGTGGATACAAAATTGTTTTATAACTAAAACCAAATACACTTAAATTTCTATGTGTACATCAAATGAACTCTAAAATGATCACAACCGTTCGATCTGAAATCCAATTATTAACATTCACCCTGTATAGACGATTACGTGAGCATGTACAAGGTTCAACTGTAAACTAATACGTGTACGACTGTACGAAAATATAATACGTTTCAGTCGTCAGTCATTTAAAATGAATGCATTCAATAAATCCTCATCGATCGATAACAGTGACAGAATCATAAATACTTTGAAGTTATCCAACAACTAACACATCCTTATACATAACTATAAGAGTGCTTTTCTATGGTGGTTATTAAATTGTCATCATACTCTCTTAGTCATGGCACATTTTGTGAATATGTACACTCTTGTTATGCACAACTTAATGAATTGATATAATAATACACTTCCAATGACTTCATTTTCATTAAAGAATCATATAATGCCACTACCTTTTTGCCTTTCAAATGATTCATTCTCCATTCTTCAAATCAATGGCCTAGATGAGATGCCATTTCAATCCAAATAGCATTTTAAAATGGACACAAATTATACACGCATTAATGTAATGGGTAGAGCATCATAAGCAACCCAAACTTTTGTACAAGCCAATTTGACGTAAAGATATGAGCAAGTGACAACTCAAGGAGGTATATTAGAAATACACACTTTTAAGAGACAAAACTTGAAGAAATGGGGAAAGAGGAAGCATGTCCCGTGAACGGAAGCATCAGAATTGCCCATTGCTGAGATCACTTGGCAATTTGGGCTGTAACAACCACATACATAAACAATAGACGTGTCTTTCAAAAAAAAAACAATAGACGTGTGAATGTGTAATGGTATAGGTGGGAAATGGCTCAAATTAAAGATGGCTTGATGAAAACTTTGACTTATTTTAATATGTTATATAGAAATTGATATTGGGGCAAACCATTTTACACTCTACTTGGATTGAGTTGTCTCGAATTATATTATACCAATATCATGATGTAAGAGCTACATGAAATTAAATCGTAGAAATTTTGGGAATAACATTTTAAGTTATTGAATTGACATGTATTAATGGAACATTAGTCGTACCATTGGGAAATGACCCACAAACGCAAAGCAGTGCGTGTAATTTTTTATAGAGACGGAATTGAAGTTGGATAAATAATTTTTCCAAAAAAAAATTAGTTAAATAATTTTAGAGTTTTATTCTGAACGTATGTCGCGTTTGATAAACGAACCATCGATCATTCTGTAAAGGTGACTGAAAACTTCTATTTCTAACTTATGATCTTTTTTAGTTAATTTTTATATTGTGTGTTGTGTTGTCCGTAAATTTTTTGATGTGATTCTAATCATGGATCATCTAGAAACAATTTCTTTGTGTTTTACTACGGCAGTAAGAAATTAAGAATCCGTAAATTCAATCTCCCTTACTCCACCGTAGGTGGGAGAGCCTTTGCGGCTGCAGTAATGTTGTTGTTGTATCATACTAAATGAAAAGTAAAAGTTAAGGGTTAATTTTCTTTACAAGATAATAATTTAAAAAAATTGGAAGGGGCGCCCAGTCATACTGCATACACATGACTTTGCCCTTAATTAGAGGTACTGTCAAGACCAAATCAAGGACTCAAAATGCTCTAAGATTCTGGGACATTGATTATGCATATCGAGCTAATTTCCAACCTATCTTGTGATATGGTAGTCATTGTTTCCTTTCAAGGTAGGGATTGCATATTCAAATTTCAAACATGTAGTATAAGTAGATTAGGATGTACTTTAAAGATGTACGGAGTAATATAAATAGATTAGGATATACTTTAAATGTATTACTAATATAATACTTTAAAAATGTGACAAATGTTTAAAATATCATTGCAAGTGAACTTACTGGTGATACTACCATCGTATACCACCACCGTTTTTGACATATCAACATGAGTCCGTGACCATGGATTTCGACAACTCTCTAGACACCTTTCCCAACTATTCCCTCTACATCAAAATAATTGTCCCAATTTCTTTTTGAATTGTATTAAATTAATAGTCTCATTTTTTTGGAAATGAGACTATTAGGTATGCTATAGTACTAGAAATTTCTTACTTTTTGCAAAGTATATAGGTAGTATTTTGATTAAGTACTTTGTAGAATATTAATAATTTTTCCAATGAGGGCAAGTACAATTGAGTTGATTTTGAAGAGTGGTGTAACAAGTCATATCTAGTCACTGTTTTGGAAAATAAAATTACTTATATTTTTATTATTTCAAAATGTGGATTTCCATTGTGTTTCATAAAACTCTCGAATATGTTTCATTAGGGAGTGCATGTCCATTTCTGTCTGAGACCACAAGAGTTTGTTTTTAATAGGGAAACCTCAGAAAATGAAATACGCCACTTAAGAGGGAAAGAGAAGGTAAAAGAGGAGAAGACAATGAGTGATGGCTGGAAAAAACTGTCTTACACAAAACTGTCCAACACAAAAGAGAATTTCAAGCTGTATTCTAACTTCTTCAATGTCACAATCAATCTCTTTTTTCACAAATTAACTCAGTGGATTTCCATCTTTAAGTGGCTTCCACATTTATCTACCCATCCATCCATGATCCATCAAGTTGATATTTATATTTTTTTCTCTAAATGATGATGGACCACATCATCATCAACTAGGCAAATTCATCCCATCCCACATGTGGTTGCAATTCCCTGAGTGAGGAACACCACTACCATCTCTATGTACCCAGAATTTTCAACATCTAATTAATCAAAAGGGTCCATCTTTCTTCTTCTGTGATCTGCCATACCAGAAGATAAGTTGACACGTAACAACTAGCCGACACCCTTCACATCCAATTGCAGGGTCACTCGGACAGGAGGAAGCAAACTTAAACGTGACAAAAATAACTTCTTTCAAACAAATAATAATAATAATAAACCATAGCAGATAACAAAAGTAATAGTAATAACAATCACAAATAAATAAATGAAAACTATTGTCTAAGTCTAACAAGAGATTAAGATAATGATTGGATTATATTTATAAAAGAAAAAAAATGGAAGCAGATCAATGTATGCACCATTTATAGTCAACCTACTTAATAAACATTATGAAAAAGCAATCAAATGTAAAGAGCAAGCACTTTCTAGCCAAAGCCCAACAAGGCAATTTTGTATGTGTGAAGATGACCTCAAAGAAAGCATCGTGCTGCTATTTCCTCTGTCATCTTGCTTGCTTGCTAACCTTGGTTACCTGTGGATTGCATTGCATTGATATCTCCAGCTTCAACATGTGTAGTTGTCTCTGAGGGAGGAGCTTCAGAACATGCTCTCAGGACGGCTTCATTCTGCAAGAAAAATCAAGCATTTTTTAAATTGGAAGAAAATGTTTTACTCAAAAGCTTTTTTAAAGAATTGGACACTTCAGATAACACAAGATTTTAGCCTTGGAACTACGGACCCGTTGACAAACTGATATCTAAGAGCGAGAATAAGAAAACGCATTCACATACGGAGTGTTAATATAATTAGCAAGATAACTCATTAACTTTAACTCCATATCAATTATCAAGTAATGAATAAGAATGTAATGATTCTTATAGATGTCAAGACGGCATATACTATCAGGGGCACTGAGAAGTATTTTGTTGGGCTATCAAGATTAAGACACACAAACCATCGGGTTAAACTCCTTTATCTTTACAAATGTTGTCATAGATCTTATGCTGTATTTGCATACAAATTGTTTTGGTCGAGGAAACATGGTTTTCGGATAAACAAAAAAACTAAACTGAATATATAGTGTGCAAACTTAAACCGATGAAAGTAAGAAATAAAGTGTGCTGTAAGTGTGAGATCAGTCAGATCACTCAATGAAATATAATTATCACTATCACCTACCTTCCTAGGAGTCTAGGACCTATTACTACACAAAAGAATAGAGATATTGAATAGGATGTGACAGGCATGACCAATACAATGCATACCAGTAATAACAAAAGAATAGCCAGAGTAACGGGTGATCTTAATGTGCATCTATGGTTGAATGGGAAATAAGATAGCAGCTCCATTAGATGATCTTCAATATATTGTTCATAATGTTGGATTACTAATAAAGATAGAATGAAGAACATTAGTTAATATAGAGCACATTTTTAGAATATTCAATGAGGAAGTTCTGTTTGAAACTGGTGTTCATAACTTCTGTACCACAACACTTAACATAATTTCAATGAATCTAAATGAATGGTACACAAGTGGGCAATAAAGATGGTACAGATGATTGTGATCTCAATCAGTGAAAATGAGAGTATTAGCCATTGATGAAATGGTAAGGGAGAATCTAATTTGTTTATTAGGTCAAGCTAGTCATTGTGTAGTAAGCACTTCTACATAGATAATGAAGTCCAAACTCCAAAGTGTTGGCATGTTGGAGGTCTTAAAAAGATGAGGCAATAGTTCAAAAATGACTTGAAGTTGTAAAAATGACATTAGTTTCTGGACTTCATAAGTGCATGGTGAATGCAAAACAAAAATATATAATGAAGATATTTATGTATGAGACATAGTTATCAATCTGAAATAGCAACGTGGAGAGGCTGGCCCAGAAAATAAGATTATTTAATAGCTGAGAGTGAGTTGAACGTTATTTGAGTATTTTATATCTA